ATAAGGGCATTAGGGTGAGCCCTACTCCACCATGACTGGTGTCCTTATAAAAAGGGGAAATTTGGACACAGAAATATTCAGAGGGAAGACAATGGGAAGAGATAGAAGGAGAAGCCAGCCATCTGCAGCCAAAACGAGAAGCTTCAGAAGAAGCCAACCCTGTCAATACCTTGTTCTTGGACTCCTAGCTTCCAGAACTGAGATAATAAATTGTTGTTTAAGCCAGTCTTTGGTACTTTGTTATACCAGCCCTAGCGAACTCATATACTCTAATCTCTGTATGTCAATTAGTATTGCTCTCAACACATTCTTTTAATAATGATCACTAACAGTTACAGAGTGTTTACTAGGTACTGATCACTGCAATAAATTCTTAGATACACACTATCTCAGTGTGTATCTCTTTGAGTGGATTTAATGGTAGAAGAATGTCCCAATAAAAAAATATGCAAAAATAAATTTTAAAAAAGTTTCTTGAGGCTGCAGAGATAAATTTTGAATTATTTTCCATTTTCAAAAATTTTCAGGTAAATTGTCATTATTCCAATATCAGAACTGAATCCAAGACGAACAGTTGGTACATGGGCAGGGGCAGAAATTGAAGCCAGATGTCTGAATACAGACCTGTGCTCCCAACCACCTCATCTAAGTGTCCTCCCTTTCCCCTGCCTGGATTCTTTTCATTTCCAATGTGACAGCTACATGAGAAATTACAATATGCTGAGATAAAGTTTTCACAACATGATAGCTCATCTACGTTACTCACAATTCTGTGTTACTGCAGCCTCAATTATACACTAGAGTCCATAAAGCCCACAAAATGAGACAACTCTTAACGAGGTGACATTTTAAAATACATAAATTTAAAGAACAAGTACTATATCCATTGCCAATGGTTTGTATAAGTCTGGATTCAAATGGTAGTAAGGTTCTTTAAAAAAGTTTGTTAAGTTGATTCTGAGATTTATATAGAAAGGTAAAGAAACTAGGAGAGCCAAATCAACTGTGAAAAAGAACAAAGTTAGAGAATTCAACATTACCTAATTTCTTGACTTATTATAAAGTTAGTTATCAAGGGTATTGTTGGCAAAAAGATAGACACATAAATAAATCAATGCAACAGAAAGTCCAGAAATACCCACACAAATATGGTCAACTAATTCTCAACAAATTTGCAAAAGCAATTTAGCAGACAGTGTTTTCAATAAATGGTTCTGGATCAACATGATATCCACATGCAAAAGGTATATATCCATATACCTCACACTTCTATAAAAGCTAAATCAGTAAGGATGACAGTCTAAATGTGAAAGTTATAAAACTTCTGGAAAAAAACATAGGAACAAATCTTTGTGGCCTTAGATTTGGCAAAGATCTTTTAGCCATGACACCAAAAGCCCAATCCATAAAAGACAAAAAAATTATCAAAATTTTAAATTTCTATTTTTTGAAAAAAATTAAAAGACTAAGCCATGGACTAGAAAAAAATATTTACAAAACACATATTTCACAAAGGACTTGTAACTAAAATATATAAAACCATTAAAAAATAAGAAAACAAAAAACTCAACTTAGAAAATGGGCAAAAGATATAAACTGATATTTCATCAAAGAAGACATATGAATGACACATAAGTATATTGGAAGATACTCAACATCATTAATCGTTTAGGATACTATACACAGCTATTAGATTAAGGGGGAAAAACCCGACAACCAAATGCCGTTGGAATAACTATAGCTCATACGTTACTGTATGTGTGAAAACAAAATGGCATAGTCACTTTGGAACACTGTGGAACTTTCTCAAAAAGCTAAATATACGTTTAAAATATGACCAAGCAATTCTACTTGTAGCTATGTATCCAAGAGAAGTAAAAACTTATGTTCACTGCAGCATTATTTATAATCACAAAACATTGGAAACAGCCCAAATGGGAATATTACTCAGTAATAAAAAGGGAAAAAAAATGACTAGTGTTCACAACATCACAGATAAATCTCAAATGCATTATGGTGAGTGAAAAAGGCCAGACTCAAAAGTCCACACACATATGATTCCATTTATAGGACATTCTGGGAAAAAAACAATTTTAGAGATGGATCAGTGGTCAGCAGGGCTGACAAGGGAAGGACTATGAAGGAGTTTTTTGGGATGATGTTATTGTTCTACATCTCAGTGTAGTGTTTACATGACTGTATCTGCCAAAGCAAAGGACAAATTTTATTACACATAAATTAATAATTAAATTGTATTTTTATTATATGTAAAATATAATAAATTATATCTCAACAAAAGACCTTTTTGAAAAAAGTAGCCTAGCTTAACACTAAAGTTTAAGATTTTTTAAGATGGCAAAATAAAATTCCTGTAAGATGAGCACATCCTGTTTGTCTCAGCCAACTCAAGGAAGTCAATGGATTTTATTAAAATTCTGGCTTTTTATAAAAGGTCTGTCACAACTTCTACACTACAGTCAGAGGCCTGGTTTCTGCCTCTGATTCTGTCAATCAAGTAATACATACAGTAACAGAATATTTCACTTTATTTTTCTGCTTCCAAGTTCCTTACCTTTAAAATGAGAGAAAGCATTCCTAACCTCAAGGTAAATGCAACCATTAAGAGATGATAAATGGAATATATGCGTAGGATTGCTGACAATACTGACTCCATCTTTGGTCCTCCACCTTGTTCACGTTTGCTCAGTGACTACTCTCGGGGAATACGTGCTCCGGGCCCTTGGAGATTAACACACATACCTTAAAATTATGGGGGAGGCTTGTTTTGGCCTCCCATGAATCTGATAGAGATAACATGGTCTTTCCCCTTCCTGATGTACAGATGGTTCCACAAGTTATAGGTTAGCTGTCAGGTGCACGCAAGCCATTTATATAGGTATATGGGAACCCTCTGCTCTCACTATAATGCCCATCTACCTGTCTCCTCGCCCTATAAAATCAGGGGACTAACATCTGGATTTTGCGGAGAATAACTCTGCAGCTCGCCCACCATCGGATCCCTTATCAGTAAGTTACCCTGAATAAAACTCTTTGTAAACTGCATGGAGTGGCCTCCTTCGTTTTCTGGTCTCTGAGTGCCTTCTCAATTTATTATCTCTCTTCCACTAATAACGTGATACGTGGAATATGTATAGTGTCAGCCAACTAAATATAGATGTATGATCACATTTAAACTCAGCTAAGCTGAAATTTCAGCCTTAACAATAAGACCTGTCACTACAAATGGTAACAAAAAAAAAGAAAGTAAATTATCTGAAGCACAAATAAGAAAGTAAAATACACAATAAGAATCACAAATACATTTAAAAAACTAGGATGTTTGCTAATGGGAATATACTGGGCTTTTTGTAAAAGGTTCTTTTCTTTGGGGAAGGGCACAAAAATATCTGTTTTTTTTTTTAATGTTTGTTTTTATTTGGGGGAGAGTAGGAGCAGGGGAGGGGTGGAGAGAGGGGCAGACAGAGGATCCAAAGTGGGCTCTGCGCTGACAGCAGAGAGCCTGATGTGGGACTCGAACCCACAAACCGTGAGATCATGACCTGAGCCAAAGTCGGAGGCTTAACTGACTGAACCACCCAGGCACCCCCAAAAATGTCCTTTTCTAAAAAGGAATATTATTGCAGGTTATCTCTGCATATTAATGAATGTAATTAACTTGTAAAAAAAACACTCCAATACATCAAGTGCTTGCTACATGTCAACACTAAGGGCTTTACATATTATTATCTAATTTAATATTCATAAAAACCACAAGATAGCACCAACTGTACTTTAGGAAGTAATTTCCTAACATTCATATGCTTGATGGAAGACCTTCAGCAAGTTCCAGTACACTGAAAGAGAAGCATTTAAACCAATAATGCTGAATTTGAAACTATTCCTAAGAAATACCAAGAAGGATCATTTGTCTTCTTCCATACCTAAAATATGTGTCCTCATCCTTATTCAAGAAGCTATCACTTTGGTCTATCTAATAAGCAAGGTAAGGAAGTAAAATAAAATGACTACTCTCATCTTGCTCTTAAAGAAGGAGAGTTCCCTTTTTAAGACCTTTTAAAAATGCTCTCAGATACAAATCCCCAGCAAGACCACAAAGCAGATACTCAACTATGGAGTGCCTTGGGGACAATGTCTGTGTGTACACATGTGTGTCTGTGTGTCCCCCATAAACCACAGTACTTAATACATGCATTCACATGGATAGGATGCTGCCCTTACCCTGGGCCTAAGGCTTCTAACACCTTCTAAGGCCTTGCTTTTCTTTGGTCCTTCAGCTTTATTCCTGCCCACGGGCCAAAGATTTCTGAGGGAACTTCTAGAACACATTCCAGAATACCAACGGTCCTGAGATTCCCTATCCAAATGGCTCCAAAACGGTTTCCAAGATCCAGCTAGCCGAGAGAAGACTTTACCACCAATACATAGGCCGCTAACTGAGGAATGATCAAGAAGGGCTATTAAGTGGGCAGATGGACATGCAAACTGCCCTCTCCACACACATGCACCCAGGACCCCAGAGGGGTACAGTTAGTTCTACAGTGCCTTCGCTTTCTGTACAGGACTTCACAGGAATCTGAGAGGTGATCGAAGCTGACTCCACAAGAGTAAGCCAGAGACACCCAACCAACGCCAGTTGTGGGGTCGTGCAGACAAAGGCCAAGACAGATACACTGACAGTTGTATACAAGGACCTGAGTGGGATAGAGCAGCAAACTGAGAAAGACTGAGGCCATTGAAACAATTCCTGAAAGGGGGCCTTGGGTCCTGCTGTCATTCCCAGCCCAGCTCAACAGGGGGTAAGGTATGTGGGCAGACTGGGGGCAGGGTATCCAAGAAACAGGTTCTGACGTCAGCTGCAGTGCCAAGGAGATGGCAGGGTAGCAACAGGGGGAAGCTGGCGCAGTATGGGGGCAAGACCATCAGCTGATTGTAGAGAGCCAGTCAAGGGCTGGCGATAAAAGGGCGGGGCCGCGGCCGACGTCACTGCCGCGGCCGACGTCACCGCCACTTGCCGCATCCTCAAGATATCTCTGGTGCAGCTCGGGTGCAGGTCTCTGCGGGAGCCACCCTAGACCTCTGCAGCTTCTCCTGTTAACATGGCCGACTCGGAAAACCAGGGACCTGCGGAGGCAAGCCAGGCGGCGGCAGCAGCGGCGGCGGCAGCGGCAGCGGAGGCGGCCGCAGCGGAGGAGGTAATGGCGGAAGGCGGTGCGCAGGGGGGAGACTCTGACAGCGCGGCTGGCGACTCCGACAGCGCGGCTGGTCAGACGGCCGAGGAGCCCCAGACCCCAGCAGAGAATGCACCAAAGCCGAAAAATGACTTTATTGAGAGCCTGCCTAATTCGGTGAAATGCCGAGTCCTGGCCCTTAAAAAGCTGCAGAAACGATGCGATAAGATAGAAGCCAAATTTGATAAGGAATTTCAGGCTCTGGAAAAAAAGTATAACGACATCTATAAGCCCCTACTTGCCAAGATCCAAGAGCTCACTGGTGAGATGGAGGGATGTGCATGGACCTTAGAAGGGGAGGAGGAGGACGACGACGAGGAAGAGTACGAGGATGAGGAGGAGGGGGAAGAGGAGGAGGAGGAGGAGGAGGAAGCTGCGGCAGAGGCTGCTGCGGAGGCGGCCGCTGCCAAAGATGAGGGTCCCCATTCTGCGGTGTCTGATGACGCCAAGAAATAAGCGGGGGCAGAGATTCTGAAGAGAATGACGCGAAAACAAATACCCTATTTCTTTTCTTTTTTTTT